CAAGTGATTCTCCTGCCTCCGCCTCCCAAGTAGCTGGGACTACAGGCGCCTGCCACAACGCCCGGCTATTTTTTGGTTGCAGCCATCACTGTTGTTTGGTTGGCCCGGGCTGGATTCGAACACCAACTCCGGGGTATGTGGCTGGTGCCTTAGCCACTTAAGCCACAGGCGCCGAGCTGAGAATATTAACTCTTAAAGCTGGTCACGAGTTTAAGACCAGCCTGAGCAAAAGTGAGACCCCATCTCTACTAAAAATAGAAAAACTGAGGCAAGTGGATCACTTCAGCTGGAGTTGGACGTTGCCATGAGGTATAACACCACAACACTATCCAGGGCAACAGCTTGTGACTATCTCAAAAAAAAAAAAAAAAAAACTCTAAGACAGGCATTCCATTACCAGTAATCTAGCCTACACATATATTAGCACAAATGTACAAAGAAACACATGCAAGGGTTTTAATTGTAGTATGCTTTTTTTTTTTGTAGCATGCTGTTTTAACAGCAAAGAAATTGGAAATAACCTGAGTGTCCTTCAATAAGTATTGATTAAATAAATTATGAGAAACAAAAAAGCAAAATGGGGCCAGGTGTGGTGGCTCACACCTATAATCCTAGCACTCTTGGAGGTGAAGGTGGAAGGATCGCTTGAACTCAGGAGTTTGAGACCAGCCTAAGCAAGAGTGAGACCCCATATCTAAAAAATCTAGCCAGGTGTTGTGGCAGGCATCTGTAGTCCCAGCTAATCAGGAGGCTAAGGCAAGAGAATTGCTTGAGCCCAAGAGTTTGAGGTTGCTGTGAGCTATGACAATGCCATGGCACTCTACCAGGAGCAACAAAGTGAGACTCTGTCTCAAAGAGAAAAAAAAAAAGCAAAATGTAAAACTCCATGTATAGTGTTACCCTAGTTTTTTACTTTTTGTTTTTTTTTTAATATTGAAACAAAGTCTAAACAATTAAAGTTAGGAAACTCCTCCTAGGAAAAGTGCTACATACATGCACTGATACCAGATCCTTCAAAGCAATTTTGGCCCTCTTTCTAGAATGGCCTGATCAGAGCTGTCATCGTAATACCCTTGACATCCTGAATGTCATAAAAAGGTCTTCCTTTTTTTTTTGAGACAGAGCCTCTACCCCCTGGGTAGAGTGCCGTGGCATCACAGCTCACAGCAACCTCCAACTCCTGGGCTCAAGCGAATCTTCTGCCTCTACCTCTCAAGTAGCTGGGACCAGAGGCGCTCGCCACAATGCCTGGCTATTTTTTTTTTTTTTGGTTGCAGCCATCATTGTTGTTTGGCGGGCCCGGGCTGGATTCGAACCCGCAACCTTAGGTGTATATGGGTGGCACTTAGCCACTTGAGCCACAGCTGCCAAGCCAAAAAGGTCTTCCTTTTAAAATTTCCTTTATTTTTAGTTAAAGACATGGGAAAGGTTTTTGGGTACAGATATTTGTTTCCTGGCTAAAAACTCTCTCAAAGACAGTGCCATGTAATCTGGTACAATGTGATACTATAACCACACCTTTCTCATGCCAAGATTTTCAATTAAGAATTTCTGGGCTCGGCGCCTATAGCTCAACCAGCTAAGGCGCCAGCCACGTACA